TATTACTATTTATTATTTATTTATTTAAAAAGTAATTTTTAATGACTCAATATTATTGCAGCTTTTTTTTTAAATAGAGCTACCAATCTTTGCTAGCAACATAAATCCTTTCATCTTAGATGGCAGTATTTCCAACTACATTAGCAGCTTCCCTGAAGCCTTCCAATAGCTCTAAATAGTGAATACTTGCAACTGTTGCCTTGTCTCTGCCAAATTCTCACTATTAAAATAATATGTTAAATGAGCAGTGATATGTGGAAGAGCAATGGAGGAAGGTGTACTGAGGTGCCAAGCGGATTTAAAGAAGCAGCTGAATAATGGGGTTTACACAGGGTTTGGCAATCATGGTCAGTGAAGAGCTCAAGGACAGAGCTCCAACCACCATGGAACTGTTTGGACTGTGGGATGCAGATGCAATTTTATGAAGGTGAGAGGAGACAGTATCAGGAATGTGAATTTTAAGCTAGACTACTATGAAGTCTGATGACTGAAGAATGCAAAAACAGATTATGTATATTTGTAAATTTGTACTGCTTTTTCTGTACATTTTGTACCGATCTATTTCAGATTAAATAAACAGAGTGGTTCTTTTTATTTGCTGGAGTGGATTATGGAGTGGTGAGCACGCACAGGGAAATTCTGTCTCTCTTTAAAGAAAGTTCACATCTTGACCTCTGTAAAACTCTTAAAAACTCAAAGTCTCAGCTGCCTAGAGCAGCTAGCCCTTGAGCTACCTCCCTGCCACTGTTAAATAAACGCCCTCTCTTACTTATTTTGTTAAATGGAAACACATATACAAAAGCAGAAAGACAGTACTTGATAGCTAGTAAAACAAAGCTACAGTTTTATTACTGAGTTTGATTTAAAAATCTCAGTTCCTCAGCAAGTCAGTACTTACTATGTGGAGCACATGAGACAGCTTCCATTGTCCGAGCCAAGGAAGACACCCAGTCCTGCTAGGAAAGGCAGGCACCTCTCCCTTTCCTTTAGGGGGGGCAGAACAGTCTTAGCAGTAGCGCCAGCAGGGGCACCGATGCCTAATCTCATTGGGATGTTACACGCTGCATTCAGTTAAAATCCTAAGGTCCCACGGCATGGCCTCCCAGCGAAATACACCACAGGCTCCCACACACCCTCACCAACCCCTGGCAGTTGGCTTCTAGCCAGCAGGCTTTACAGTCTGGCCAAAACAATGTCCTGGGCAATGAGGTGGGGTCAGGAGCGGGCAGCGACGAATAGTTGTTACTGGAGTGCCAATTTTGGAGACTAAGTGAATTTACAGAAATGCCACAGAGCAGCACGCAGAAGAAACGCCTGTTCTGTCTGCAGCCAGCTATCCTAGAGTGAGGTCAACAGCTTTAGACAGATGAGACTTTTCTCACACAAGCACCATAACTTGTGAGTGTCACCTTGCCAGCCGTAGGCTTTATTTGTGAACACGCTCTTCTCCATAAAAATTTCGGCACACCTCTGCTTGCTGCTTCTCTGCAAGCCACTACTTCACTACTTGTTTCTGCACAATTACCCAGACACTGGGAGCATACCTTGCAGGAAATAGAAATTACATCAGTGCTGGCTAACTCTGTTTATTATCCTAACTGAGAAGAAGTTCAATTGTTCAGGCATCAAAGCTGCCAGAACAATGCGCTTCAGGAAACTGGGGGAGAAGAAACTTCTCAACCAGTTCCTGAAGCACTGTATCTGCTTAAAGGGCAAAGATACAGACTGTAAATTTTTTAAATCAAGTCAAACAAGTAGCAAGAAGGATCTCTGGCATTCAAAGCCTCTTTCCATATGCTAGTTATGAAAGAACTCCTCTCATGCTCAAGGTAGGTTATGCTCTTGCCAAGGCAAGATAATGTGTCATTCAGAAAATTGCACCAGACAAACACATTTCTGCTTCTGCATCATTAGAGCATCATTTTGAAGGCAAGTCCATAAATGATAAACTACTGTGTGAAGATACATATATATTACATCCCAATACCTATAATAAGACAGACTCATATCACAAAGTCAACATGTAAAATAATAACATAAAGAAAAAAAATATTCCATTATTTGTTGAATAAAGCAAAAGCTGTTGTGACTTACACCAGCGTTATATACAACTGTTAGTCTACTGAGAACTTCATCTATTCTGCTAAGTCCAGATACTAAAAGCTCAGTGATGACCCACTGCAAGATTTCTGCAGTATTTTACATGATGTAACTTCCACCTCTCAACTTGCTGTCAGATGCAAATAGAGAACCGGAATATTCACAGGAAGGCTGGCTCAAGAGTATCTTGAGTACAGCAGCTTACATAATTTTTATATTGGTTTAATCAAAAGAAAAATTTCAGTCAACATTTGGAAGAACTCTGAAAACACTCTGATTATAAATCTGTTATGATTGCCTTTTTGGCAGCCAGATTAGGTTTACTGAGGCATTAACAGGAAGGAAAATGGAAAGGCAGGAGGCAGCAAAATGAACGCTCTCATAGGCAACACTGCCAGACCAGGACATAAAGAAGGAAATGATGCAGTAAAAATGATGTGACGTGGAGACTGCTCAGGCCAAGGTGAGACAGCTGTTACGGCGCGACTGTGACACCACACTGGGCACACGTTCAGTGTAACCTTGGGCTCTTCGTTCCCATCTGTGGTAACCATTCATGTTACTGTTTGGTTTTAAGACCTGCAGGACAGGGATGGCCTTTGGCATGTGTGTCAGGTCAGTCAGTCCTACTGTAACACAAATCCAAGATACCTCCTAGCAAGTGACAGATGCTGGGATCTTCTTTACAGGCACTGATCACGAAACAGAATGGGAAGCAGTTTTTTTTCTTTTTTACTGCACCATTATTCTTCACAGGCCAGTGAAGGTAAACTTCATCTACTAGCTTGCAGTTCTAAGAGACCATAAGAGCTAGACTTTGCATTCTTAGACACATTTTTAATAAAAAAGGAATGCACTTGTACAAGTGAAAATTTCTGTGTGTTAGAAATGTTGTGTTGAGTTTGCACTAACTCCAGAGACAAGACAAGGTGGAGACGGTCTCCTGACCTTGACCAGAAGCTCAGCATCACTTTTCAGATGGGGTGAACTACCATTTAGCAGACTCATTCCCACAGCTTTCCTCATTTGAATACCAGAAGAATAATTCTTCTCCAGGCTAAATAAAGTAGTAAGGGAGGAACTGGGTCAGCTGGAGAGTGGGGGAACACTCAACACTTGGTAAAGATGGGATGGAGGCTCCTGTTGACAATTGGTTCAGTCCTCAAGCTTGAGTCTTAGCTTTTTTGCAGGCTGGCAGTGTTGTTTCCTCCTCCTCAACCTTGCGAGGTTTCTTTACCGTGTACACTACCCCACAGGCACTCTTCCGAGTTTCTGGAATATACAAGCAGAAGCTGTAGTACCTCAAATAAAATGACACTAACACATTTAATGCATACTCACTGCAGGTGTCCATGCCCCAAAGCACAGTTCAACATGTTTAACAGCCAGCCAGTCAGCACACACAGCAGGTAAGCAACCTGCATGGGCAGGAGCTGGGGATACACTGCCTTATGGAGCAGGGAAACTAAAGTGGGAAATCCGATGGATGATGGGCAAAGAAGTTAAAACTGAGTTCTGCAGGGGTTGAGGGGCTGCAGACACACAAAACCATAGGAAACCAGGCTTAATCAGTTCAATAGTCACAGAAGGGCACATTGTTGAAGTGTTGTCAAAAGCATTTCTGCATTTCCGAGCAAAACAAACTGTTCTTAAAAAAAAAAAATTCACATACCCCAGGATTCTTAAACAGACTATGTTGTCATAGCTGTATTGGTAGAGGCTCCCCTATACATACCAAGTAAGTGGCTTTATGGTATTCAAGAATATTTTATTTACAGAACCCTCAGCATTACCATAAAATACTACTGTGTGATGCTACCAAACTCTTCATATGTTTGCCAAACAACCTAGTGAGCCCAATCCAATTTCAGAACTACAGTGGGAGGCTTCTCTGCAAAATCTGAGGTAGAAGAGATTCCCTACAAATACTCTGTTAGCAAAGAGGCTATGCAAGAACCTTGCCAAAATATCTCGACTTATTCTGGGCCAGTATTCTCTGGGGGACAGGGAAATGACATCTGCTATTTAATTTCACAGATAAGATAGATGATGGTCTTGAGAAATTCCACATAAACTTGACAAAAACTCTTCCAACACACTGTCTTCACGTAGATAAGTAGCAGTCTGGAGGAGAACTCTGTTCACAGAAATGCCCTCTCCAAGAAATCAAAGCTACCTGCTGTGAATTACAGCAGGTTCAAGCCCCACCTCTACCAAAACAAGAGATGCAAACCAAATCCTACTGTATGTTTGAAACTGAGAACAACTCAAGTTGTTGGGAAGGTGACTAGAAATCATACCTACCCAACAAACTTTGACAGAGGCAGAAATTAAGAGCGAGATGTGACTACTCAGTCACAAAGTTAAACTGGCATCAGAATAAACAACAAAAAAATCACAAAACATTAAGAACCAATAAATAAGCATGTGAAAGGGAGGGTGGAGATGGAAAAAATGGTGCTACAGTGGAAAGCAAGGGTCTAAAATTATTGCTGGAACACAAATTGTGGCATCTCTTAGCTGCACGACACCAGGACACAAAATAGAGCTGGAAACCTTTGATTTCCAGTGCAGGGGGCCACAAGCTGTATTTCCACTTTCTTAATATTAGAAATGGGCGAGTAGAAGAGAGCTACTGTGAGCTGCCTCTGCTGAGAGCATAAGGAAGCAAGTTTTGTTTCACCAGAACACTTCAAGCCATTGTACACCATATGAAACATTTTTTTCTAAGCAGCAAGCACTCGGGGCATTTGATTTTGCATCAAGTTTGAAATGGTCCACACTGAACAGCAGGTCAGAAATAGACCACATAATGAAGCATCAGAAAGGGACATGGCAAAGGCTGCTTCTGCACTCATGCTGCAAGTGGGGAAACGCATAACACATGCACCCCAATTTTCTTGAAGTCAAATGATGGAGTTTCTGCTGGTGTCACCGAGATCAGCATTCAACCCTTTCTGAAACAAGGGATAGTTTCACTACGAAGCACAACAGGCAGATCTGTGTTTTGGCTAAACAGTTTATGACTTGTTAATGTGGTTAAGTGGGTACTCCAGTACAGACAGCACCATCAATTCAGCCACTGATTTGCTAACATGGCAACAAGGGAAAATAAAACACCCTTGCCGCACAAGCTCGTCTTCATGCATTGGACAAGGGAGCTAAAACCCCAGGCTAACTTACTCTGTAAGGTCTTGGACCTTCTGGAAAATATGCATTAACACGAACTTAGTTTAACAAACACAAGTGTTACTTAGGTGAGTTTGCATGCACTTTTCACTCACCTCCATGAAGCACGGTGGCTCTGCAGTTGGTAGACACGGCTGCCTTGGCTTCGCTTTCTGACAGGCCAAACAGCAAACCTCTGTCACCTTTACTCAGGATCAAAATGCACAGAAAGAAACAACCGAAATAGGGAAGTCTGTCTGCATGATAGGTTTGCTGGGAATTAGCAAAGCTGTAACTCAGAGTGACATTTTGCATAAGGTTACCCAGAGGCAGCAAACTGAGGCACCCAATTCTCCTGGCTGCAGCTCCCCAGCAGCCCTCCTGGAAAGCTCCTGGCAACATTGCTTTTTTCCAGACAAGAAGCTGTACTTTTGAAAATAAAAGTCTGTCAACACAGGAACATTTTTATATGCATAATCAAGTAAAAAAAAAAAAAAAACATTGAAAATTTCAGTTTTGGGGAAAGGGCATTGTCTGATATAAAAGCATTAGGCTGAAAAGTTCCCAGCCACCTTGAGCAGGGATGACACCAGATTAGGTATGTTAATTTGGGTTGAGCCTGACTGCTCTTTTTAAGAGGGAAGGAAACATTGCACATAAAATCCTTCCAGGCCACACACCCTCCCACACAGTTCTCACGACTCAGAGCACACTCCTCCCTTCAAGGGACAGTCCACATATGTGCCTAGGGGTGGGGAGGGGGAAGTAGTAAAAATGCATCTGAATTCCTAAAAGAAGGGGACAAAAGACATCCTCCTTGGTTTCTAGAACACAACCACTTATTTAACAGCACATATGTAACTAAGGACTGGAAAATTCATAACAGAAGTAACCAGCACTCAGATAGGTACTTTATCTTTCTTAATATGAGCATGATTTTATAGCTTCTTCTACCAAAGATGTGGCACCTTGGAGATCGTAAGTAATAATTTCCGGTTTGGTTCACACTGTCCATAGATTTTTATGGGTTTTATTAATTTCTCCACTTACACCCACACAGTATCAATGCATATCACAACAAAATATACCTATAGCTGAAAAAAGACACTACTATTTACAGTGACTGCTCATGCCACCCCATGACCAAGAGCCGTTGCTCCTTCCACACCCACTCAGAGCCCTGATTTACTGAACTGGTCACCAACAAGCATCACTGTGTAAAGTTCAAGGAGTGTAAATGATGGAAGTATTTCAAAACTACTTTGAACTTTCACATGTTACTATTAACTGCCGCCTTTGACTTAGAAAAAGGATACAGATTAGCCACGTCGTAAGGACCTCGCAGTTCTAGAGGCTGAAACAGAACAAAGAAGGTTGGATATGTGCATGCACTGTCTTGCAGGCTGAGAGAGTGTGAACAGGCAGGACAGGGCTATCAGTAAGGCAAGATTAAATGCTACATAATAGCAAGCTGCTGAAGATACACTAGGAAATCAAGCAAATATTATTATTATTTTGGAAAACAGAGTCCCCATCTGGGAGAAAACTGTCATGGAAAATACCACAGCAACAAGAAAACCTCCACCCACCCACCCCCCCCAAAAAAAAAAACAAACCCCAAACCAAAACACCAAACCACCAACCAAACCACCCCAAACCCCACAATACAATTCTTTGGTAAAATAGAGTGATTAAAAAAACCCACAAGATAGCAATCATATTTAAAATCACAATTTTTATATGTTTAATATATTAACTAAAGCTGTATTTTCAGCCACAGATAAATCCTCAAATTGTTCTGACTTCAACAAAAATCTGGGACTTACTCTTTCAGCTGCACTAGATATAACAATGTTCTGGAAAAGAGAGCAAATGTTCATCTGTCAGACAGCATCAAGAAATGGGGGAAAAAAAAAGCAGCAAGCAACAAAGACTTTATGAGCATTAGCTAAGTTCAGGCTCAGAGCCCAATTAACCGTGAGAGTATCTGATGCCATCAAATGAAGTGAACTCTAGCAGGGTGTGGATCTTAATTTGGGGACATGAATAAACCCAGGTTATCCCCCCGTCCCATACAGAGGGCCAGGCACAGGGACAAGCCCTCCCTCGCAGTTATAAAGCTCTCACAGACAGATGCGAGTTGAATAAGCACTGCACCTTTTAGAGGGATAAGCTAAGCAGTATAAATGTCAGAGTGATGGCATTAAGCAAGCACCTACCATCTCATAGTGGACTTCTGTCCTGGTTTCGGCTGGGATAGAGTTAATTTTCTTCCTAGTAGCTGGCATAGTGATGTGTTTTGGATTTAGTAGGAGAACAATGTTGATAACACGCTGATGTTTCAGTTGTTGCCAAGTACTGCTTATGCTAGTCAAGGACTTTTCAGCTTCCCATGCTCTGCCAGGTGCACAAGAAACTGGGAGGGGGCACAGCCAGAATAGTTGATCCAAAATGCCCAAAGGGCTATTCCATACCATATGACGTCATGCTCAGTATATAAACTGGGGGGGGTTGGCCGGGGAGCAGCAATCGCTGCTCGGGAACTGGCTGGGTATCGGTCGGCGGGTGGTGAGCAATTGCATTGTGCATCACTTGCTTTGTATATTATTATTATTAGTATTATTATTGTATTGTTATTATTACTACTACTATTTATGTCAATTATTAAACTGTTCTTATCTCAACCCAGGAGTTTTCTCACTCTTACTCCTCCGATTCTGTCCCCCATCCCATCAGGGTAGGGGGAGTGAGCGAGCGGCTGCGTGGTGCTTAGTTGCTGGCTGGGGCTAAACCACGACAAAGGGACCTTGAGGGCAAAGAAGAAATGCAGAGTTGCACACACTGTGTTAAGAAGTGCCCCCTTTAATTACAGTAGCTGAAAGAGGCCCTACAAAAATGACATTTCAGCCTGAGCTGTAACAGAAATGGACTTAGGAGTTCAGGATCCCCCAGAAGCAGCTTACATATAGTGCCTTTAGACAGTTTGGTCCTCCTGTATTTTCATCCTACTCTCTGTGTTGCAGTACAACTTGATCATAACCTCAGCATTCACACTGGCCTTGATCAAACTCATGCTGGTTGAGGAAACCTGTCTGCAGCTAGGCAGTGGCTGCCACTTCATGCCATATGCTCACTTCCCTCAACACTGGCACCCCCACGAAATCACCAGGCAGAGAGACATCCTTCTCCCTTCTCTCCCAAAGGGTTTCTACAGAACAGGTTTGTGACTGCTCAGGGACTGGCAGATACCACAGCTCAGCTGTCAGCACTCTTCTGATTTTAAACCTCCAATGATGCTCACCCAGGGGGAGACTGTTTTGCACAGGTGGAAACTGCAGCAGCAGCAAAAAATTCCTTGCACCTTTTATTATACTGAACAAAAGGCTTTGGGAATTCCTGCTTGAGTGGGTGGGAATGAAAATTGTACTGAGGCAGCGAAAGACTTTCTCTCTCTGACGTCAGTACCACCAACACATCACACCACCTCCAGTTACAAGGTGGGGCTTTTGATCCCTTCCTTGCACTGCCTTGCTTGTCCTGCCACCTCCCCAGCACAAAGAGCAGGGCAGACACTGGAAAAAAATGCTCTGTGCGCAGCTGGAACTCAACCCATAAAAGAGCTATTTGCATGGAAATGACTGCATGTTCACACCGTGCCCAAGGTTTCCTTGCGTGCTGAGGAGGAAAGGATGGGACAGACACCTCTGCCTCAGCATAAGGAAAGCAAGAAGCGGAAGCAATACATACATCAAAGTGACTTAATAGCACACATCATGATAGAGCCTATGACATTTCTTTCTGCATAGTTCACCTTTAAAATGACTGCACTATGGATCCCAAGGGTGCTTTTGAGCTTCAGTGGTGCTGACTGCAAGAGTTTGCTGGGAAAATTCAAGTCTCCTGCTCTGAGCTGTAGCAACCAACGCCTGTCTCCCAGGCTCAGAGAAACTCCCAGAGCAGCTGTGCAACACATCTTGAACCAGCGCGGGATCGTGGTTCACGGCTGCACATTGGAGATGCGCTCTGCCTGCTTCAAAGGCAACTGGCTTCCAGTTAGGGGATGGGCAAGACAGGAGAAGGAGACAAGAGCAGACAAGAAAAGCACTGCTAGAGAGTGAAGAAGAGGCAGGCAAAGGCAAATCCAAGGGAAGAACTCAAAGGCAAAACATTATCTCCCCAGGTAAAGGAGACAGCAGCTGCTCAGTACACTGCTCCAGGCACAGTACCCACAGTTACCAAAACACAGGGGGTGAGGGACTGTGGCTATGCACACCTTCTGTCTGGCAAGGCAGGCGAGTCCCTCCCTCATTCCCTGCACATTTTAACATGTTTTAAGGACTCTGCTCAACGCCAGCTCTGAGGATACCAGTAGATTTCTGGAAGTTTCTCTGCCCTACTACAACAGAGGAGAAACAAAAGGATCCAAAAGCTGCTACAAGTTCAGCAGCTGTAGGTTACAGAAGGCGAGAGCTGCATGCCAGGTGCCAATGCAAGCAGCCTATGGACCAGCCCTCCCGTGTCTCATTAAAAAAAGGCCTTTATGTAACTGATGGAGACAAACTGCCAGTGGGGGCTAATAACCATCTCTGCTGGCCCACCAGGTACTGAGCCTGAAGGCAAAAAATAAAGACAAGATAGCAGTCCTCTCCCAGCACCTAACAACTTGTCATGCCCAGCTCCAGCTGATTTACCTTCCAGGCACAGATGATGCACTAGACTGACAGATGCAGAAAGATAGAGCAGTGTACACAGACTGAGCACCCGAACATCTCACTTGCTCTGTTTGCGACGCCAACTCAACTGATGCTCTCTAAATCAACAACTGTATGAGAAGCGCATCTTTAACGGCACAAAGGAAAGAGGAGCACTGGCAAAAAGGAATCCCAAAGGAAAGGGGTTTTGTGTGTATGTACCTCATCTCCAAGTCACTATTTTGCACAATTAACGCCCAGAGCTGGGCTTCTCAGGAAAGGCCATGCAAATACTCACTTTCTTCTGTAGCGCTAAGGGAATTCATCTGTTTGACCCACTCTGCTGTCCTATAAATAGGCTGCCATGCCTGAGGGGAACTGAGGTAATGACAGATCTGCTTTTAATTGGTCTTCCAAGCTGTATATCCCACTTCAGACTAGGTCTGCAGGGTAATGCCAATTTTGGCTTCTCTGGACTAGCAAAGTGTGGCAAAGGCCATTTCCAATAAAGGTGGTGGGAGCTACAATCTCTTAACTTGGATATGTATTATAATACACTTCCCTGTTAAAAAAAACCATGGCCTGAGAGGACCCAGCATGACAGGCAGCTTCGCCTGGTAGCCTGGGAGGAGGTAAGGTATGAAAGCAATGGATTACAGGCGTCTCGGCTGCAAGCGTTACTTCTTCCTTGGGTTTCAGTAGCAGGGAAGAGTGCAGTTGATCTGACTGCAGCAAAGCCCTGGCTGATAGCCAGCTAGCTGCTGGGTCTGTTTTGTATACTGGGAGTTTACTAACTGTTTAACAAAACAAGATTCCTACTTTTTTCTTATTATTTTCTATGTCCCATATTCAAGGTATACTATCAACAAAGAGCTTTTGGTCAATTGGAAATATGAAATGGGGGATTTTAAAGAGATGCATGGATTTCAGTTCTAGTGCAAACCTTAGATCTCTGGCACTTCTTTTTTCCCCTTTTGTTTTGTGTATTGCATACAATAATAACATCTGTTGTTGTTCTGAAAAAAGAATCTTAACAGTTTGACAACTTAAGAAGAAAGCATGCAGTGGTGCATGGCTGGAAGTATCTGGAGCTAGAATAATTGTGTCCTTGTATTAGTAGGCAAAGATTCAGTCACAGCTTCAGAAACCCCAGCATCAAACTCATTTAAAATGGCTCAGTCCAAACAACTCCAGAAGAATTTGAACTGAATCAATTAGCTTTCTAATTGAAGGAGCTTACCTTTCCTTTGCAGATCTGCATCAGGCTGATCGCATTTGAAATTGTGTATCTTCTCATTGTGGAGTCTTTGATGGCAGGCGTGTAAAGAAGTTCAAAGTAAATGCCTCGATCTATTGCCTTCAGATGAAAGGGAGTGATCAAAAATCAAAAGTAGAGAAGAATAACAATCTAACAACTGCTGTCTATTATTGATGCAGCTTATTCTCAGTTTAACTGTGTTATATATGAAAAAATTAAGGCGGAATTGTTCCAGCAAGACCACAGCATAGCACTGGAGGGGGGTGGAATGTTTCACTGTACACCAGATATGTGTACTTGAATCTTGGGATGACAGATGAATGAGGTTTAACAAAGAAATACCAGCCACTTATTACTTGCAATTGGCTTTCCTCTATCACAGAGTTGACAAGACAGGTAACCACTGCTGGTCAGAAACAAGTTTGTAAATTTTGAGAACCCTCCTCCTGTAGCCCCACAGCTTGCTGCAAGGAAGACCACTGCTTCCCACAGTACCCATGTCTTGCAAATGAGGAATTTGTCCTTGCATAAAAGCAGCAATGAGGTCCCTTCTCTGCTACCTTGCAGCATACTCTGGTGTTTGTGACAATGTTAAATAACAGTGAGTCACAGGAGAGGTTCCAAATAGTAATACTCTGTATTTTCAGCTGCTTTAAAATCCCTTGCTATCTCTCAAAGTACCTCATGAAAACCCTAGTATTCTCATTTTGCAAACACACAGAGAAAAGTTAAGCAACTTGCTGTAGGACACAGTGAGTTAGCGACAAAGACACAATTCAAAGCTAGGAGTTCCTAGTTCCCTGGCCTATACTACATTTGCCTGAAATGTTACTCTATGCTTTATACCCATATTATTTAAAAAATGCTGCAGTTAATACTGTAAGAGAGTCCAGTAACTGAATACAGATGGAATTAATCCAGCTCCCGTCCATGCATGACCTCTGAATGCGAGCACAACAGAAGCTGTGTAAAACATTAAATGTTTTACAGAGAGCTGGTCTGACATCTGCAAACAAGAAGAAAAGCCTGAATGTATCAAAACCAAAACAGGTGATGGCAATACACCCTTTTCCAGCCAGGCAGATTTTTAACCTCAACCCCATCACTTCAGCTGCCTGCCAATCTGTCTGTCTGGCATCACAACAACCAAAACTGACTGCCCGAGGATGCACAAAACCAGTCTGACAGACAGACTGCCTTGAAGCTGGGAGTGTGGAAGCTGAGAAGTAGCTTGTAAGGAAAATGTCTCCAAACACAGGGCTCCAAGAGCCACCCAGCTCCTCACCTGGGTCAGCTGCTGGAGTTTTAGGTAGCTAGGGTACTTTCAAACAACATTTCATACAAAATTGTTATTCCAAGTGGAATGTTGAAATTCCCAGTCTATAATGAATTCCAAAGTATTACTTTTGTTCCATTTCAGGATTAATTCTATTTTTTTTTTTTTATTTTTATTCTAGGTCAAACTTTCTGTAGAAGAGGAAGTAGGATTTCTAGCCAATTCCAAATCTAAATTTTCGCACTAAGAACTACAATGGCCAAGAATGCCCATGTAGAATGAACCTTGACATATACTCAGAGGAAAAAAACTAGTTTACCTAAGAGCATGTTCAGATTAAGCTTTCTGGCAAACCACCAACAGTAGGCAGAACTGTATTAACAAAATATTTGATCCTTGCTGATAGTCATCCTGTGTCCTACAGCAGATATTTAGCAATTCCACATTTGGTTCATTTGCCAAGGCACTCCTTTGTCTAAGTATGGATTCAATACAGTTGTCCTCCAAATAACTAGTATGACATCCTTCTCCCAAATTATCACTGTCATTCATGTTCTCCTGTCTCTTAAATTGCAGGGCTGTTTATCTATTCTGACACAGCTGTACCACTTCTGGTTTGGGAAGCAGCTCAATCAGCAGTCACACCACATCTCACTGTTAGCGCAGTAGTGGCCTCAAGGCTGCGTTTCCATTCCTTGGGAACACCACTACTGCCTTAAGTGGGGGACAGGAAGGAGAAAAAGAAGGAACGTACATCACTGTGTATTAAATGCTGCAGTGGAGGCCTTGAAGTGAAGGACATCTGAAACAACACTATGCATTATGCAAGAAGATAAAAGAACCACTTGGATGGGAATGGTGGGAGGGAAATGGTAGGGAAATCAACTCAGACTGACATTAAATACAGAATTTAACAGCAAGAAAACAATTTAGATGCAAATTTACCATATTCACAGGGGGCCTTCGGAAGTAGAATGGCAGCTTTTCTGTTACATTTATGCATACCAGATCCACATCTAGAGTTGTGCAAGCAATCTACAGCAAAGAAATATGAACAGATTATTAGATATGCCAAAAAAATGCATAACCAACTTCAGATGCACTGATATGCACCTTCATTTCTTAATGCAACAAATGTGGTGAGTTCAGTTTTAAAATGAAGAGGTACTCTGCCTTGCAGGAATGGCAATAAAACAGCAGGGCTACAGGTGCACAGCTTGAGCATTTCAGGCTTAAAACCCAAGCCTTTTCTCACTTAGAGAACTACTTTTCCAATAAAATAACGACCAACCCAAAGGCAAGACTTATTGCTTTGGTTTTATCTGACACAGGACATGCAGAAGCAATGCTGGCTTTTGGCAAAAGAACTCACAGCTAATGAAGGACAACCCCTGTTTTCAAAGGAACAGCCCAGGAACTGCCCCTTCCCCCTCACTCTCTAATTCCAGCGTAGAAACTGTTTTCAGGATTAATTATTATTACCAGAAGCAACTGAGAAAGGACTGAAAGAAAAAGCAGAATTTTAGACAGTGACTGGTGGTGCCTCATGGCCAGTACTGGAGGCCGATCCACAGGGCCTCGCTTTCCTGGCTGGGTGGGGAATGCGCAGCCCTTCCTGAAAGCCACGTCTCTGGAGGATTCTGAAGATGGCACTGAAGGTTATAGTTTAAAAGCTTAGCTTTGAAATCACACCATAATTTACAGCCTGTATTAAAAGACAGAAGGAACGAACAAAGGGCAGAGAATGTCCACACTGACGTACAGAGAAAATCAAGTGGAGCCCTTGATTTACATATAATCTCACGCACACAAGACATGTAGGAATTCTATATCCCTAGCCCATAAAGATGATTACACAGGGCCAGATTAATGTCTGTAAGCAGCGTTGTAACAAAGAAGATAAAAACAGACTGAAGATGTTGAAAAGGAATTTTCTATGCGTAGGGGAACTCTCTGCTTTCAGAAGCCTGCCAGCAACTGCTCCAAACACACCTGGGCCAGGTGCCAACCACTCATCCCTTCTCGCACCAGCATGAAAGCGGTGGGGGTTGCGGGCAGTCCCAGGGCTGGGCTGCGAGGGAATCGCACGCTGCTCTAACACGGGGCAATTGCACGCTGCTCTAACACGGGGCGGGCTGTCGCTTCGCAAACTAGTCTTCTACCAGTTTGTTCACATGAAATTTGGATGGAGATGAGAGCAGAGGCCCAGCTTTAGGAATGTTTCTTAGCTGTTGATAGCACTCCCTCCTAGCCAAAAGAGCCACAGCACACATGCAGGAAATTCAAAGATCCAGGAAACCACAAGGTTTTTGATGTTAAAATGTCTCTACCAGGCCATCTGGACTAAACTTTATCTTCATGCCCTACCTGTACCAAGTCTGTTAGGCAGGACACTGTTGGAATCTATTGCATCAAATTAGACTTGCATGTGTAAGTTTAGCCCTACTACAGCCAGTTTTAATCCTTTTCTTACGTGGAGTACAAACTACCATCTAGACAGAGGTGATTTATGGGAACATGCACAGAGCAAATAGCTCTGAATCATCCTAGAAAAGACGTCAGTGAGGCCATAGGAAATTCTGGAAGAGAGAAAGCTGAAAATGAAGGAAAACAAGAATACACATCAGAAACATGCAAGTTGCCCTATGTGATGAGAAAACAAGCCTTCCTAATCAGCTCCAGAAACACTGGAAAACTCTTTTCCATTTTGCAAATTAAGCACAGTGGGAAAGGGAGTGACCCAAATGCCAGGATATCTACAGGATTCCAGTGACGAGAACATTTCAGAAAACACCACCAAGCAAAAAAAAAAAAAAAACTTAAGAGCCATGCTTCCCCATAAAGAGAAATTCCTGCACTGCACAGAAAGTTGGAGAGGAGATTTCTCCAAACACTCCAATGTTCAGCCTAGCTTTGGCTCCTGGACAAGTCACACACACGCAGGCAAGTTAAGGTTACCCTGCCTGCTGAAAGGACCTAAAGTGCAAAAACTTCGTACCGAAAATGATATGCAGCAGTTGCACAGCCGGGTGCTTGCCTGGCCACACTGCAGGCAAGAGCCCCACCTGCTGGGAAACTCCAGACAGCCAGAAATAAATAAATTTGCCACTGCCTGGATGGCCTGAAGAAAGCTTTGGAAAACATTTTAGGAATAAACATTGAAATTTGGCTTTGCACTACACCCTCAGACTTATATAAGCAAGTTTTTTAGATACTGCTGACCTGATAATTGCTTACAAACAGCAGGCAAAAATAACTAATATTATTAAAACAGTCAGAATTCTTAAAAAGCAAGATCTTTGAAAAGTAACAGGCACAGATCTTGTTACTGGCATGGAGCGGGCATTCCCGTTGCAGCCCAAAACAATCCTCTTGGGAGACTTAAAGGAGCACGTTCTACAATTATCTTGGCAAACACAGCTTCCTCATACCCCAAGGATACAAATTATTTGGAGAATTTGAACACATCTTTCAGTACATATCCCTGCCACACTCAGTCACAAAAAAGGTTCCCTGCCTTGTGACAAGAGGGCACAGACTGGTCTTGGGCCATGCTAAAATTAGAGGACATCTCCAATGGTCATGTATTTCTTTTACAAAAACATGAAAAATCCTGTTCAATGGAAAATAATCCAAGTGCCAAATTGTTGGTGAGAAAGATGATGCTCTCGAAGTACTGTTAGTTACCAACAGCCAATTTTAAAATATAATTTGTGGTGCAAGACCCACGCTAGGAGGCTTTATCCTTAACAGTGAAAGATCCATGAGTTGTAATAGCCAGAGGTATATGCTGAAACTCCATGAGTAACATCACTTGCACCAGACTCCCTGTTGATACCTGTATAAAATTGACACAGCTCTCCACAGAGAGTTAGAAAACCTAAAATCTTTAAACAAAAGACAAACATACAAATCTGCCCTGAATGTAAACTTGTAAGGATGAAGTCTTTCACCTCACACAGTTTGCAAGAAACATGCTTGGGTTCCCTCCCCAGCACAAAGTGCTGCCAGCACGGAAGCAGCGAAGATGGTCTCATCGACCATCCTGCTTCCTTCCTAACACACTGTCCATCACCTGCGAGAGTGTCAGCTTAAACAGTTGCTATCTGCATTGGCCTGCCCAGAGCACAGCCATCCTCTTTGTGCCGGCACAACTATCTGCATGGCTGAATACTGAATCACAGCAGGAAAGCGGATCTGCCTGCTTGGCAAAAACTCTGGTTACTTTTTCAGCCAAAAGCACGTTCCTCAAACCAAACTGCCACGCAGCTAAGCAAGCAGCTTCACCAGCAGAGCAGACAGGGACCTGCAGAAATGAATGGCTGTTTATGCCAGCTTAAACACTGCTGCAGCTGGACATCCCACTGCAACAGAACTCACAGCTGAAAATAAAAAAACCCCACCCTTAAATAAGAGAGAGCCCTCTCCCCCCAGAACAACACAGCATGCCCCTGCTGATTACTTGGCTTCAGGTGGTTGTTTAAATGCATGATAAATTGATTGAACTCACTTGAGAAGTGAGATCTTACATTGTTGTCATAGACCAAGAAGAAAAAGAGGTGGACAGTGGCCCTCAAAAGTATTATACAACTATTTGCCTCTCTCACACCCCCAGGAGTCCTAAAATCTTGTGAGGGAAATAAAAGCAGTCAGAAATGGGTTTCATCAAGCTGTAACTGTTACAATGAATGCTTGAGTTCTTCTGCAGAAAGATTCTTTAAAGTTCACCTTGTTCTACAGCCTCTTGCTTTGTACTTTTCTTGGACAAGTTTTCAAAAAGGAGGGGAAATTATTTAGAAAAACAAAACAGAAGAGTATCATTTTAATGTGTCAAAACAGGGACTCAGGAGTATTAGAAAGTAGCTTTAACTTAAAAAAAAAACAAAACCCAAAACCCAAAAAACCAGACTCAGTTTTATACTGACAAGCTCTCTTTGAAAGTAAATTCTGGCACTTCTCCAAAGAGATTCACATTTGCTTTAAACGTTATTATTTATGAGCTTGCAAGAGGTCAGACATCACAATTTTGGGTTTTGTAAGAAAAACATTCTGACAAAAAGATTACTTGCTTCCAGATGCTCCACTTGATCAGAGCACTCACATCAGTTGTTGCCAAGTATTTGAGAACAACTTAATTAAAAATATCAGAGAGACAGAGATAACGAACAGCTATCACCCAACAAGCCAAGCTGAGATCACTCTGCCTCGGACAGTGTTTTAAAACTAGGAATTTTTCTGGTAGGAAGGGTCTATTCAAGATAATAGCAGTTATGGTCAAAAGCTGGAAGACAATATGATGCTTGGTGCTGCTAGTAATGGCTGAAGAATTACTGTGCATCACTGTATTTAGGTATCACCTCTAAATGGTAAATGTTGTCTTCAGTCAAGCACCAGAAATGGAGCTAACCAGTTCAGGGTCAAACACACTTGCAACACCTTGTTTTTCTAAAATCAAAGAAGTGACAGAGTATTGGGGGTTTTATTCAAAATACTTGCATTCCTATTAACATAAACCAACGCGAGAAACAACAGTGTTGGCCTAAGGTCACAAATTAGTCCTAACTAAGGTTTTGAAAATGATTCATACCCATTGTTTTCTCTCACTAGCACACGAGTGCTACCACCGCTACAAGCGCCAGCATCTGTTCAGTAACACTGATACAGCAACACCTTCAAAGACACACAAATTTTGTGGAGGCAGTTTTCAGTTGCAAGCTTGCTCTGAACAGCCAGGATAAAATCTGAGTGAGAAAATGAGCGTCTGCCCTTCAAGTATTTTCCCCTCAAGCCTGCTCTACTTTTGTACAGCCTCAATGGTCTTCTCAGCAAGCAAAGTAACAAACATATCATGAAGTCACATAAGTGAAGCTTCTCTCACTCAGCTTGAGCATCCAACACACTCAAAACAAAACAAAACCAGAAATCTCAGTCTGGCAATGGAGCAAGGGTCGTTATGTTTAATCAGGCGTGTTTACTTGTGGAAATTTTATTTTATCTGTTCATAAGATGCTATGACAACCAGAACTAGCTCTGTCTCCTAAGCTCTTGCTCCTCTTTTGATTTAAAATAAAGAAATAAAAGGAAAAATTAAAGAAAAAGAGATCAGCTATTCATTTGGTCAAACTTTCAAGAGAAGACCTAAGACTAAAAGGAAGAAAGCAACTCTCAGAACCACATTAGTTCCGCTTTAAAATCTTCCCACCCTACCTGGCATGTCAGAGATTAGGAACAATTAGTGCTAACAGAAGATAGCAAATGTGGTCTGGGGAAGCTGTTGGAGTTGGAGAAGTTAAAGTTCACGACAGAAGTTTTCTACATGCTGATAGTATATATATTAGAAAAAAAGAAGGATGTTTTCTCTCCTCACTAGAGCAGAGTACTCAGTAGAGTCCATGACACACAAAGGAAACCACAGCGCAGGGACATACAAGTCCATTCATCAGGCAGATGTTTCAGACTTTAAGCAGTCACCTCAAGGCCCTGCAGCTTCCTGCAATCCCTTCCAACCTTCTCAGTCTATTAACTGACTAGGCAGCCTATGTTGCTTAGTTAGTCCCATGACATACAGGCCTGTATAAAATGGGAAATAAAAATCACAACAAAGCATGTACTCAAACTAGCCCAGAAGGGGCTAGAAGTTATTGAATGAGCATTACCAATCAGATGATCGTACTTACATGGAACAGTTTCTCAGTCTTCGGAAATACTGCTATGATGTCATATAACCTTATATTTGCAGATGTCGATCTCTACAAAAGGAGGAAACAATTACTACCTTGAATTCTGGCAGATGCCAAAGCTATGCACAATGATCACGAGCAAAATAATGAGAAGAAAATCCCTTTTTCACTTTCAAGTACTAAACCAAAGCAAATAATCATCCAATTACATAGTAGGTCTCTGCTGTGAGCCATACTGTGAAGTCATTCATTCTCATTTTGAGGCTTGTCCCACCCACCTAGTAAGGCACTTACACCTTTTGCTTCGATCATGTAGTACTAAAACATAAACAGACACAGGGCTTGCTCATGGTCTTCTAGTTTACGCACAGAAGTCCAGAAATCAAAGAAAAGAACTGAGGAACAGAACTGTTGTCCCATATTGACAAGTGATCAACAGAAGCCATATCCAGTCTTGTAAGTCTGCACCTCTTCACGATCACGTTATTCGCTAAAGATGCGATCTGAGAAATCACTGCTGAGTGCCCTACAAAATCCATGAAGTTCTCTCCATACAATTTCCAAAGTTTCATTCATTCATTGAGAAAAGGAAATAAAAATTGGAAAATTAATACACTAAATATACTTACCAAGAGATTACAGTGGGAAGGATCAGAAACAACAAGTGTTAACCGGGTTAAGACTTTAATTCTTTTAGATGTCCCCTACAAAAAAAGAAATAATACAAAAAACTTAAAAAGCTCCAAAGCAAAAATCTGTAGTGACTTTCACCCTGTCCACTATAAAAAGAAAATGTTGCCTTGCTCATATTCTTGCCTATACTAATTTTCTAAAGTCTGTAGTTAGATTTCCCTATTTTATATTGATCTGTTTGATATTATACCTGCCCTTTGCAAAGAATGACTTATTGTGTTTCTCTGAGGAAAGGTCAATACAAAGGAGAAAGAATGAAATAAAGAAAAGAAAAAAAAAAAAAAAGAAGTAAAATCATGCAGAAAAACTGAGTATGTTTTAATACTGCTACGGTTCCCCAGGCAGGCCACAACTGCAACCAAAAGCAATTCCTGAATTAACATATGTCAGTGATTTGAAATACAGACTTGGTTCATTATATCCAAATCTTGCTCCATCAAAACAAGGAAGTTGTTTCCAAAACTCAAATGTCAAGAATTACACTGTAATTATTCAACTACAAGAAGATTCAAAATTCACAACAAGCAATTTCTTCAATAATTTCTAAAATAATGAATAGAGCCTACTCTACCACAACTGTATCATTTGTCCAGTGCTGGGAGTTTTAACAATCAAACAGTGGACAAACTTCTCTTTTTTGATTAATATGTAATACACAAGATCACATATACAAACACACCAAGGTAAAAAACATATCTCAGAATAATAATAATACATAGATACAATGTAACTAGACATACTTGCACAATAGGCAAAGATGGAAACAACTCTGAAGGAGATACTGGCTTGACAATTTCCTTAAAAGAGAACAAAACAAAGTTATTCAAAATGTCATGGGTTAAGTTTACAATGTAAACAGAAACTGTGTTCCAATCCCAAAAAGAAGTTTGCCATGCTAACAAAACTACTTCCCAGGGACAACACACAGACCATATTAAAAGTTAACTCCAGGGCAATTATACTTAATTGTAAAATGGGGGTTCTGCCACGTTTGTACTTGCATCGAGATGTACATTCAGCAGATAAAGCTATTTGGGAACATGTAATACGGCACGTAGGTTTACAAGAGAAAACACACTAAGAACAAATAACACCAACAAAAATTACCTGTTTCTTTTCTTTAAAATCTATGACATGATTAAGAGCAACTGCAGAATATCCCACTGAAAAAGTAAACACATAGTAAGAATATTTTGTCCAGTAAACTCATGGAAACAAATCCAAACAGAAGCCTGTTGAACACTCATCACCTAAATGTCTCAAAACTAATAATCCCATGTATATTTACCTTTCACATTAATTTTTTTCTGAAGATTAATTAACCCAAAAAGCACCGTAAAATTAAAAAAAATTTTAAAAAATCTGCTTGCCTTGTAATACACACCAGCCCTGACAACACTTACTCAATGGCAGAGCTTTATGAACATGAATACTTGGGGTTGGGATCCCCAAAGATTTTGCCCTAGTTTGGTCCGGCTGATGATTTTCTTTAGGGAAAACGGTTAAGGACATTCAGGACAGTTGTTAAAGCTGCAGACAACGCAGAGCTGGAAGAGATATAGCTACAGGAGAAGGGAAGGCGAGCGTTCAAAGCGATGCTGACAAAACTGACGGAAAGCTCTCGTTCAGCGGGGAGCAGAGGAAGGCGGTACACTTGCCAGAGACAAATCACCCCCAAACACCAGACAGGCAGCACCTTGCCTGCACAACAGGTCTGCAGAAAAAAAGATTTAGGCCATAAGAAACTGCAGGTGGAAAAAGGCACCCACGTGGGGAAGAAGCAACTGTTAGGCGGGGATAGAGGCAGGGCCCGCAAGGCACAACCGGAGCTTGCCTTGCTACTCAGCGCTGCGAAGGCCTCCGTCCCGGCCACTTCACCTGCAGAAACCCCCGGGCT